AATGAGCAGGTTCTGATCGCCGACTTTTCGCAGTCTGCCTCAGTCCCCCAACAGCCTGCCCGGCCCTTGGCAACCCGGGCGACGACCGAGCCGGTGTAATTTCCGAAGGCGTCAATAGCATGAGTGGCAGGTGACTAAATTTTACGGAGACTTGCCACGATCTCCAACTCTCCTCTTTTCTCATTCGGGCTTGGAACCGGCAACGGCGGATTTGGATTCTGTTCTGTCGAATTCAGATGATGGCACAGGATCGGGAACGTTTAAAGCACAGTGTGACGCGTGTGTCTCGCGACCGGTTGAGATAAGCGGTGCTAGAAACTGACTGAGGCAAACTTTAATTGAGCAGAACGAAATTGGTGCAATAGATTTGCTGGTGTAATGTGGAAAATTGTTTTTTCTTTCTTTAGACTGTGCATTTCCGATATCATAATTATTAAAGTGAACTTTTATTCCTTTCCAAGTACCTAACACAGCATAAATTTTTTCGAACATTAGTGCCTTTCGAAGCAGCTGAGTTTATTTGAATTAATTGTTTGTCATATCGTTTTCGCTGAAAGTTTTAACAAGTAACGACCAAAGGCATTACATATTTACCCTCTAAAACTAAGCCTTGCGAACAGTGGCGGCTTTAACATAAATAGCGACAAATGCCAGTATTCTTTGAATCTGTCTATCCTTTATTTTCTGATCGGCTTGCGATTTTCAATCTAGGAATTGGTGCCTACAGGATCAATTTTCCTTTCAGCGGTTAACGCCTCACTTCATACTCATAGCAATCTAATCTGCACCTGTTGACACGTCTAGCAGCCTAACAAAAGTAATTATAATAACAGGTGACAACCGGCTACGGTGAGTTGCAATTATTGCATTGACCACACAGTGCGGCGTTCATTTTGAATCTGTTTACGCCGTATCTGCGCTCGTTGCCAATTCACGGCCATTAACTGAAATTTTCAGGTAATATGACGAGAGTGACTGAGTTTAAAACACGAGAATATGGTTTGTCATATTGTGCTATTTCCTTTGTTCTTGCAAGAACAATTGTTTTCTCTCGACTAGACATGTTGACCTCGTGAAACTGCAAAGTTACTGGCTTTTTGTAACATTTATTATTTTAACCAATATTTTACTTTTGAATGGCGTGATGCGTAATACAGATAGTGAAGCCTTCTTGTGCCAAGCGCTTTCAGTTGGAAGAGTGTAGTTAAAAGCTCTCCCGGTTTGATGTTCAAATGCAAGAACAGCACATAAAATTTTTTTAATGAATAGACAGAGCAACTTCAAGATTTCACTCGTTACGTTGCAGTATTAAAAAAATCGTTCAAATCTTATGCAGTGACAGAATTACATCTTTTACATTTATTAATTGAATTACATTCAGCTTTTCAAATATCTTTACGTTCGCTAGTGCGATTTGGTATATCCTTATCTATTTAATTCGCATTAGCAAACGTAAAATGTTAATCATTGAATACCAAAATATAAACTGATCATCTGTTGGCTGAGAAAGTATATGACTTTGAGTCAGCAATGGAACCACGGAGTATGTTTACTCTTCTCGTTGCCATTGCGTCATTGTAACCTTTCAAACTGAAATGTTGTGGCCATAGCCATGCAGTCGAGGCACAGAAAAGTTAAGCAAATATTCCTGATGATCATTGTTGATTTTCCAAACCATGTGAATTTTAGATGTTTGAATCAGCTCATTATCTTTGGGAACTTTCACCCTTTTAAAACCGGGAATACGGACTACAGACGGTTATAATCAGTGACATCTGCACACTGAAATGAAGTCTGTTTATGCGACGTGGTTTTTTTTCTGCGCCATGCGGGCGACAAACTTGATTTGTCAGCATGCTGAAGACAGAGAATATGGCGTGCAGACTCAGTCTAAGGTCAGTGAATAATAATTGCCTGAGGTGGCTGAGTTCAGTCGTGCTAATAAGGTAACCGGTCGTTGGAGAATACCTGTTCGCATTTTCTATTGTTAATTAGGACTCTTTCAACAAGTTGTCAGAGACGTGGCCCCTATTTTCCATAACGTACTTGCTAGGGCGGGTTGTCACTTTACACTTGTGTGACGAGAAACTCCACCACAATTCTGTAATGGGCGGCCAAATTATGCTGGTAAAGTCATTTTACTTTCTACTGCGGAGGATGCAAAACAGAACGACAGTTCAGCTGTGAGAGAGTCACCGTGGTTAGAGAGTTTTCAAGGCAACGTCAAGTGCTGCGCGTATACTCGATCATGTTGTATTTCTGTCGCGCCTTTAATTTTCTTCTTCTTTATGCTGAGGTAGTTGATTTCAGCCTTACGAACGAAATTCGAAGTCAAACTTTTGACTTTTCCTCCTCGAAATCAAATTTCTGATTGACTGAAACAAAATGACGAAGAATATGGAGGAGATGAAAAACCTTGTTATGGACCAAAAAGACGATGAAGTTAAATTCGAGGTGAGCAAAGACGTGAGATATCTAACGTGAATTGCAAATTCTCTCTTTAGAACATCAAAAATTACGTGAAAACGCTGTACGACGAGCAAAAGCCAAAGTTTAGCAACCCAACAGTATTGGGCCTCGCAGGCTTTGGCTGCGCTGTTATTACGTTTCAGATTCATAACTTTGGTTGGATGGACCGAGGGCCCACGATGTGGGTGGCACTTGTTCTGGGAGGGATTCTGCAGTTGGTGGCAGGCAAGTTTCGCCATGAAATAATGAAATTCCATGACGATTAGTTTAGGATTTCAAGAGTTCCAAACAGGCAACAATTTCGGATATGGTGCATTTAGTACTTTTGGAGGCTTATGGACATGTTTCGGTCTAATCCTGCTTGGCGACAAGATGGAGTGGTATCCAGCTAGCAAGATCGACATGGGCTGCATGATGATAGTGTTTACGGTGTTTACCGGCATTTGGCTATACCCGACCCTCTACATGGATTTGGCACTGTGCCTGATGTTCTCCGACCTGTTTCTAGCTTTTATTTTCGCTGACATTGAGCTGCTGACCGGCGAAGTGCGAGGGCCGATGTCGAAGGCCGCAGCGACGCTATTTCTCATAGGTGGCCTGATATCATGGTACATCATGGCACATTTCATCTACCTGGATATCTTGAAGAAGGACGTTTTACCAGTAGGTCGAGCTCCAATCACTATCATCCGCTCTTATCGCACACGAGGAGCCGACCGTAGTAATGCCTGAGCATCGCTATGCCAGTTCAGCACGAGAGTTTTAGTTGGTTCCATCGATTTCTATATGCGAGTCATGTTATCAGTTTTGGAGTGTGCTTACATAAATGCTGGATTAAAACAGTTTTGGTTCTGTGCTAAATTACTGTCTGACATCATTCTTTCTATCATGCTCATTCTCTTCTGCCGTTGTATCTTCGAGAAAGTCGACGTTCCGTACCGCCTTTCGGTGTAGTACACTTTGCTTGCAATATTGGCCAGCCTCGTCATTGGGTGGTCCCAGCCAGCTGGTGAACGATCCAGTGAGCGTCGACTACTGAGGGGATCCAGTTGGTCACTTGGCATGTCCACCTGTTGTCCTTCAGACAAACAACATGGCCAGTCTTAGTCTCTTCGAGTTGTAAGCGGTAGTGAGTGCATCCAAAAACTGTCTGACAAAAAACTACCGGCTTCGAAAGTCACGAAAGGAAACCTTGCAGATTCTTCCTTCTATCGCTGCTGGCGTTATAACTGGGTTTTATTCCTGAGCAATCGAACAGTTCTTTCCTCGTGGATATAAGCAGTGCGTTATCCAGCACAGCTGTTTTGTTTGAGAAGATTGAAATTTGCTCATGTCGCATTCTTCTGCTGGTCTCGCCGTTGATATTATTATTGGAGTCCATTAAGATGGTCTAGGAATGCGTAGCTAGTGCTAGTGTCTTCCACTTCTTCGTTGTCTCGGGGGTGTTCAACCCCAAAACGATGATCCTTGACACTTTATGCATCTGTACAACTTATGTTCATAGTTCTGCCAGGTCTTTGGCGAAGATGAGGACGCTGTCTACAAAAAGCGGATGAGCGAACCGTTCTCCTTCGACGTTAATGTCGCTGCCCCAGTTCCGACGTTTAAAGATGGATTCCAGCTCCGTAGTAAAAAGTGAAGAAGAGATTGTCTCCATTGACGTGTTCCTATTGTGATGTTGATTCGACACGATTTCCCGAACAGCATGATGTCAGTTGCGGTGTCGGTATTCACTTCCTTGATCAGGTCGATGTTGGCAGGGATGATACCAAAATTCATGCACAGCGGTCAGTATAGCTCTCAGCTCGACCGAATAGAATACCTTTTTGAACTTAATGAAAGAACTGCATAGGGACAATTGATATTCCGTGCGTTTCTTTGTTAATTACCTCACGGCATGGAAGTGTCCATAACGCAGAAACCTGCTTGTTCTTTACTAGTGAGCAGTTACTCTTTCACGGACGCGGTTGAAGATGATTTTGGTAAGGACCATGCAAACTTGGTCCTTGTAACAGGAGAGTGACGGATTGATATTTCCGGGCGTATTTTTCTTGAACAGAAGAATAATCGAAGAGCCCTTCCATACTTCTGATGTCTTCTTCAACCTGATGTACTCTGCAACACGTTGGCAACGGGCTTTGAACAGGGCCATTACTCCTGACTTGAAATATTCCGGTTATGCCATTTCTGCCCGGACATCTGCCACTTTTGATATTCTTAACTGCATACTCCGCTTTGTCCCAAGTGACATCGAGAAACGGTTTCCTGGGCAATGCGCGGTAGTTTCCAATCTACCTTACCTTCGAGGAGTAGGGCTTCCTGTAGAACCTCGTGCAGATCACCTTCATGAAACAGCAGTGTGTGGCTCTTGTGCCTTATTCGTCATTTAGCGCTACCAAAACAGCATTTCTAAGAGGATGTCATACTCCTAGATAATGCGACATTTCAGGTGCGTTTTCATGTACATGCCGTAGAAGCTTCCTCCACATCTCTATGCACAAGGTAATGTACTCGTCGTCCAGTTGCCCATCAGCCTTCATTCTGGCTCTCTGTTCAACAGCTGCTTCTTTGCAGGGTTTGCGCGTTCTTTCCTCATCTTTCTTTCATCATCATCATCATGCGTCTAGGCCGCATGGTACTCATTACGTGGAGGCGGTTACTTTCGACAAACTCTACGAGGTAAGAATGACGTTCCTGTCGCACTCCACTTCCAGACCGGCCGTTAAAACTCCATGACTCGGTTGCTTCTTTTCCTAATCTTACGTTGAAATCTACTTGGACGATTGCACACGCAAATGTCTGCTGCATTCCGCATTCCAGTTCCTCGTAGAACTGTTTAACTTTTTATATCGTCTGTTTGCTGTGCAGCGCTATACACTTCTATTACTTGTAGTGATCTTCCCTTGTCAACCAACAGAATCAATACGGCGACACGAGAT